CTCATCCCCCTCCACCCACCCCCAGCACGCCATTGCCTCCTCCCTCGCCCTGAAAACTAAACTGGCTCTGCAGACAGCTGACCCACACCCTCTCTTCAGGAACACATGCCACCTGCCTGCCACGCCCAGGGCCACTGCCCTGACCTGGGCCTCTCAGGGTCCTTTCTCTAAGAAAGAGGTGGAAGACCCTGTGAGATGAGAGAGGAAGATCAACTGAGCCCCATCAGTGGATCAGTTGGGACCTAGCAGTAAAATACCCACTGTGTGCCTCAGTATCTTCTCACCAGGACAGCTTCTGGTTCCCGTCCATCTGAAACCCGCCTGGCACCTGAGAACCTAGTAGGTGCACCTCACATGTGGTGGCTTCCTCGGTGGTGATGACCCAATGAAACTTCTCTCCTCCAGGAAGCCCTACCCCCAAGCCGGCCAGGTCCCCACCCTCAACGGCCAGGGCCAGGGTCCCCTGAGCTCAGGCCCACACCCACCCGGGCTGTCTTTTATCACAGCTCCACCCCCATGCTCGCCTGCCTCTATGGGATTTCCGGGCCTTGGTGCTGACTCGGCAGTGAAGGGGCAGGTCTCAGCAGGCTCCTCCTGGGCTGGAGTTGGGGCCCTCCTCCCTCTGGCTGTTCCCAGGTCCCTGCATAGGGCACTCCTTGGAGCGGCACACAGTAGGGGCACAGCATTCAACCGGATGAACCAAAGGCCAAACAGCTATGGGCTCAAGAGAATCCACACCCAGCCCCACCCACTCGGCTGGCAGGCACGCCCAGGGCCAGGGGATTGTGCTGATCCCACCTCCCATCTAACCTAGGGTCACTTGCTGCAGCTTCTTTCTAAGGCAGCAGAACCATGATTGGCTTTTAGCTATCCCCAAGGGGCCACCTCTGTGTCTCAGAACTTTCAGGAACTAACCAGGCACCTTCATTTCATCTTCTCCATTGTAAAGCCCTGGGCTTTACAGACGAGGAGAAGCTCAGGGAAATGACTAGACCAGCACAGAGGTCACACAGCAGACTAGCCACCAGGTGGGGATTCAGACCTGAGCGGGCCTAATCTGCCACCACTCAACTACTGAGACACGCACAGGGTTAGGTCAGGAATGCCCTGACCTGGTCCCAGGAGCAGCAGTTGTCACCCAGGAAGGACCCCAAGACTGTAGGAAGAGCGTTCTGGGCATGGGAGACAGCAGGGGCAAAGGCCTGGACATGGGTACTTGGGAGAGGGGACCAGGGAAGGAGGAGGCTGGGTTACCAGAGGGCTTCCAAAGGTCAGGCACAGGAAACCAAAGAAGGGGCAATTAACCCCTACTATGTGCCATGCACAGCAGCCAGGATCCAAACCCCGGCTCCTCCACTTCTAAGCTAAGTGACCTTGGGCAAGAGGCAGCACCTTTCTGTGCCTGTTTCCTCAGGGGTTGTGATAGTGGCAAGGGGACTGGGAGTGCTCTAGGTTCAGAGTCCCACTCTTGTCCATTCAGTCGCTCAGGGACCTACTGTGTGCCGGCACCAGTCCCCAAAGGCCCAATGAGGCTGTTCACTGCCCCTGTAGATGAGAAGCTTTTTGAACCTCACTTCTGAATTATTATCCCAGCCCCCTCTCCACCTACTATATGCTAAAGAAATGGGTCGTGGTGCCTGAGGAAGAAGCTAGGGGACTGAAACCAGGCCCAGAGAGGGTAGGCGACAATCCAAGGTCACACAGCAAGTCTAGTGCCCAGGTGCAGCTGCCAGGCCCACACCCAGCCACCCCGCCCCCTCCCAGGCAGGTAGCTTGTGTTGCAAGGTTGGTCCCGACGGGTTACCCTGCCCTGACCTGGTGCCAATCCCCGCCTGGCCCTGTCCCTAGCTGGGGGTTTAATGGGACAGGAATTCCTTGTCCCGGTGTGTGTGTGTGTGGGGGGGGGGGCACCAAAGACCCAGTGTGGCTGCTGGCTGCCCACTGCCAGCCCACCCCCTGCCCTCACAGGCTTCCCTCTGGCTAGTCACCAGCAAACAGGTTAGTCACCAGCAAACAGGCCCTCAGCCATTTTAGTGTCCATTTATTGCCCTAAATGGGGAGGGGCTTCCTGCCCGGGCCTTAAAGGGCCAGAGGCAGGAAGGCTGCAGGCCCAGTGGGAAGTGTATGTGTGTGGGGGTGGTGACAGTGGAGGGATGAAGAGGCCATGGGGATCCTATCTAATCCCCAACTCATGGGTGGGGCTCAAGCCCACCCTGTTCCCACGCTCTGAGTGCTGTCATGGGCCAGGAAGTGTAGTCCCGACACCAAGAGGAAGCCCTGGGAAGACAACTATTCATAATGATGAGAAAGGAATGAGCTTCCCGTCACTGGGGTAAGCAAAGCCAGGCTTCGGGGAATGCCATCCCTGTCTACCCCACCCTTGCTCAGGCTGCACTCGCTTATCCAAGATGCCCAGGAGAGGCCTGGGTGACCTCTAGGAGCCCTGCTCTTCTCTGCCTCCAGGCCTCTCCCTCCCTCCCGAGGCCCGCTGGTCACCTGGAGGCTCCTGCACAGGCACAACCCCCACCCCAACTCCCAGCCTGAAAGCCCCAGACAAAGGGGCGCTTGGTCTGTTGGGGCCCTAGTGTTCTGTGCCCACAAATCAGGCCAGTTCCCTCCCATCAAACACATCCTAATAGGAGATGGGACCCGGCCTTGTTTTCCAGTTAAACCAGAAAGGCGTGGGTGGGAACGCTTCCACCAAGTGGCCATCCACAGCCTGCTGGGGGGACAGATGGAGGGGCTGGCCCTTTGGCCACACTCCTCAGGAGCGCCAGATTCTCCACGGGGTACCTTCTGCGCTTTGGTGCTCCAAACTTGGGCCTCGGGCCCCAAGGGCAGTGGCTGCTCCTCAATGGGGCTGAGGGGGAGGGCAGGCCTGGTCTTGATCATCTCAACATCCATTCACACAGCTCTGGGAAGCAGGGTCTAGAATCACTGTCCTACTTTACAGGTCAGGAAACTGAAGCTCAGAGACAGAGCAACTTGCCCAGGTTCACACAGCAGAGCTGAATTTGAACATAGGCCACCTGGCTCCATCCTGCCTAACTAGTCCTCCCAGGGCTCCTTCCTCCTCCCCACACACACTGCCCCCAAGTACCAGCAGGTGACTAAATCCCCCACCCTGGGGGCCTTGGGGCCAGGGATGGCTTATTCTCACGCCTCCTCAGAGCTGCCTTATGATGGCCCAGAAAAGGGAGAGGCTTGCCGGTGGTCACACAGGGCGCCTGGGGCAGGGCTGGAGTCCAGCCAACATCTGTGAACCTAGGGCAGGGGCCCTGACCCCATGGGTCACCAACAAAGGTATGCAGGAGGGGCTTCCCCAGTCCTTGATAATGCACAGTCACTCAACAAATGTTCCTGGGCAATCACTCAGCAAATCCTCACGATGACACTTTTGGGCTGAAGATAATCTCTCCATTGTACTGATGGGAAAAATGAGGCTGGCAGAGGGGATGTGACCTCCCTCAGCGGACCACAGGGCTGGGATTGGAACACACTGGCCCCCACCCAAGCCTCTTCCTCTGGTCCTCATTGTCCAGGGCCATTGCAGGGCAGTTTATGGTCTCTCAGGTGCCTGGAGCACAAGGTGACACGCAGGGGTTGCTGAGTGTCTCAGGCTCAGGCATCCATCCGGTGCAAGCTCCAGTAGAATCCCTGACATGCCCCAAGCTGACCCAGGTGCTTCCTCCAAGAGGGAGGGACGAAAAGAAAACACAGATCTGCAGGCACCACCAGGGGGGAACCCTACAACAACCCAGTGTCACAGGGGAGCCAGCCGTTCAGGCTCTGAGAGGCCAAGAGGCATGTCCAAGGTCACAGAGCAAGTGCACTGGCAATCCCAGCAGACCCCTTCTTCAGGCAGGCTCTGCATCAGAGAGGCTGGCCCTGAGTCTTGGCTCTTGTGAGGTGACCTCCTCAGGTGTAATGGGTCATAAAACCCAGAGCCCTGCCCATGTCCGGGGGCCAAGGTGCCAAAGTGGCTCAGAGGGGACAGAAAAGGGCCTTGCAGGCCTTAAAATTACCTGCCAGGAAAGGCTGGGAGGCAGAAGGACTAGGGCTTATACTGTGTAACCTTGGGCACCTCAGGCTTTCTCTGAGCCTCACTATCCTCTTTGGACAAAGAGTTTAGTAAGCCCTGGGGAGGCTCCATTTGGCCAACAGGTACCTGCTGTTAACCTCCTGGCCCTCTGGGAGATAGGCAGGCTGGCGCCCCTCAGCTGTGACACAAGGAAGACTTTGGATGAGTCCAGAGCCGGAAGGCAGACCACAGGGGTCAGACTCAGCTTTGGCTGGGTGACCTTGGGCTGCTCTCTGCTTCCCTTTGGGCCTCAGTCTCCCCTACCCAATACATCACCCGTTCTGAGACTTGCTCTAAGTCCCCGGATTCCCACGCTCATGTTTGGCTTCCCCTCTGGGCCTCAGTTTCCTCATATGTTGATGGGGACTGCCACCAGCCAGACCCAGCTGTGGGTCATAGGGCCCCAAGGAAAAGAAAGGAAGTAAAAAAGCACACACAAAAATTGCTACTGCCCTGGAACCTCCCCCACTGGGCAAAGGCTGAGCTCTGCCAAGCCTCAGTCTCCCTCACAGAGAAAGGGGCGCGTCCGCTCCCTGCAGCCACCCAGGCAGCTTCTCCAAGGGCCTGTGCTGAGAGTTGTGAGGCTCTAGGCCCGGCCAGGGTGCTGAATGGCCACCCCGCAGCCAATCAGAACTGAATAATAAATACCCCCCCAAACTGACCCACGAATTAAAATTTCAGTGTCCCCGATGGCTCCTCTTTCTTCATTAGGCATGCGGATCCCAGGGCTTCGTTCTTCCAGCCACTGGCTCCTGCCCCCCCTCCCCCAGGCTCCCCTGCCCCCCCTCCTCCAGTCTCCACAGCAATGGCTGGCGGTAAACAGAGCCCCAAGCCCAGCTGATAAGTGCCAGGCCCAGCTTGCTCTAGGGGCCCCACCAGGGGTGGTCCTGGGTGAAAATGTTCCCTGCCTGGAACCCTCGGGCCCAGGCAGCAGCAGGGCCCAGCCTGGACTCCCCAGACCTCTCCCAAGACCAGCTCTGCCAATAGGAAGTGATCGGCTGGTCCTGGGGAGGGTCCCCTCAGTGTGGGAGCGGCACACTCAGGGTTACGCCCTGGCCCTGTTCGGGGGGGAGGGGGTGGTGACATGGAATCCCGGATGCCCTCTCCGGCCAGCCCTGCTCCCAGAGGCAGCTGGCAGAAAGGGGGGAGCAAACCAGGCTTGCCACCCATGGGTGAGCCAGGTGGGCACGCCCGGGGAAGGGGCACCAACACCTCTCTCACTTCCGCTGCCTGGCTGGGGGAGAGGAGTTGCCTGCCTACCCCTGCCACTCTGCCAACTGCTGGCTGCGTTCCCCAAACATTTAGTGGGCGCCCACTGGGTGCCCGGGCCTGGCTGGACACCAGTCTATTGCTGCGGTGCATCGGGCTTCTCCCAGCCAGCACGGACAGTGTCTCCCAAAACCCGCAAAGGCCTGAACCCTGGGTGCACCAGCACCAGAGCTCCCCTCAGGCTCCTGCTTGGTTCCCAGGCCCCGCGCTGGGTGAGGAGGTCGGATCCAGGCCCGGTTCCAGGAGCGAAGGAGGGGGCCGGATCCCACCAGCTCACCCCCTCCCCTATGCCTGGGCTTAGGGTTCGCACGTGGTGGTGGCGTCAAGGGGAAGGAGGGGGTGTCCGGGCCAAAGGAGACGGGGTCACGCGCTTTGGGGGCACGGGCGGGGGAGAAGGGTGCTCTCTGCCCCCTCCCCAGGAGACGAGGCCGGGCGGCTGCGCGGCCAGAGCAAGGGGCCAGGCCGGTCCCCCCACCCAGGGCTGAGTCAGGCCAGGGCGGGGGCAGGAAGCGGCCCCCTCCCCCGCGCCGGGCGCAGCGCACAGCTCCCGCCCCGGCCCGCGGGCCCACGCCGCACAACCCCCGCGGGGAGTTCCTACCTCCTTCCCGGGGCAGCGGCGAGGGGGCCCGGCCCCGGCGGCGGCGGTGGCGGCGGCTGCGGCTGGGCTGGCTCCCTCCGAGGGGCCGGGAGGCGGCAGTGAGCCTGGCCCCGCGCCACCCCCCCGCCGCCGGCGGCCAATCCCCACCCGGGCTGGGGGGAGGGCGATGCAAATTACCCCGGATCTGGGTCCGCCCGCCCGCCTCCCCGACGCCCGGGCCCGGCCTGTACTAGGCCGTGCATCCCCGGGCTCGCCTGCGCTGCGCGGCCGCCCGGGCCGCTGCCCTTCCCCGGGAGCACCCGGAGGGTGACCCCCCCCCCTGGGGGCAGGGGGCCACAGAGGGGGGGCTGGGGACGGTTACACAACCAGGCGGGGAGGGGCCCAGGGGCGGGCAGGGGGCCGGCCCGCGGGCCGCGCAGCCGGAAGCTGGGGACAGCCACCGGCCGCCAGCAAGGGGAGCCTAGCTTTAGGCCCCGCCCCCGAGCCGCCTGAGCCCGCCTCCGCGCCGCGCCGCGCGATCGTCTCGCGCCCATTGGTTCCCAAGCCCGCCGCTCACCGCCCCTCCTCCGCACCGCCCCTAACCGCGGGCCGCAGCGGGCCGCAGGCGCGGGGCACCGTGGGACTTGTAGTTCGACCTTCCTGCCACCTGCCAGCCTCAAGCTATGGGAGGACTACGACACCCAGCGGCCGCCGCGGTCGCGGCCGCCCACCCGGACACCCCACCCCTTCCCCTCCTTTCAAAGCCCCCCTCCCTGTTTTTTCAGCCCCCTCCCCCCCATCCCCCATGGAGCTCAATCCTAGCCAACTCCAACGTATACACGCAGCACCGAATAGGCCCCCGGGGGGCAAGAGCGCCCCCAGCACCCCGCTGCAAACTTAGCACGCGACGCGCCCCCCTAGCTTCCCACGCCGGCTCCCCCCACCCTCAATGCAGCCCCGCTTCCCCTCCCCCGCTACCCGCGCGCTTGGGAGCCCCGAAAAGCCTTGCACCCGGGGCGGGGGCTGGCGCACAAGCCCTTGCACTTCGCCCCCAATCCCCCCATCCCAAGCGGCGCCCCCTACCCGCGCTTGAGGTCCAGGGAGCCTTCAGCCTCCCGGCAGCTGCCAACCACCCCCTCTTCTGAAACTTGCGGAACGTCCCCGGCTCCCCGTGAGGGCAGGGGTGGGCGCATCGCCCCCGGCCCGTCCCCGCCCTGCACCCTGTGCTGGGGGCCGCGCCGGGCACTGACTTACCTCGTGGGGCCAGGCCAGAGCCGGGCCGGGCCGTGGCGCGCGGGGCCGGGGCCCGAAGTTGGGACTGGGCTCCTCGGCCGCTCGCCTCCGGGGTCCGCGTCTCTTTCTCCCCCTCTCTCCCTCTCCCCTCGTAGCTCCCTCGCTCCGGCGGCGGCGGCGGCGTCACTGCCCCTACAGTAACTGTACAGTACAGCCAAAGCCCCGTATGATGCTCGCGACTCCCTTCCTGGTTTCTCCGAGGGCAAGAGGGGTCCTCCCTTGTCTTAAAGGTGCAGCAGCAGCCGTCCCCCCCCCCACGCCCAGCCCGCCCCCCCCACCTCGGCCTCGGAGGCCAGAACAGGCTCGGCAGGTCCCCTCTTGCCACGTCTCTGCCCTCCCGTGGGGCTTCGCCCGCTGCGCCGGGGAGACCGGGCTGTTATTAGGTTTTGTCAAGTTGGGGGGGGGGTCCAGCCCGCCCCCGGAGCGCCCCCCCTCCTCTGACCTCTCCGCCCCGCTGCGCGGCGCCGTGCCAGCTTGCCAGCTTATCTGGCCCCAGAGCTCCCCGGGGCGCGGGGGGAGCGGGCCCCCCGGGGTGGAGGGGGGTGGGGGCCTCCAGATAAACAGGCCCCCAGCCTCTGCGCTGGGCGGGTGCGGGGGGGCGCGGGCTTTGCCCCCGACGCCTGGGGCGTGGCAGGATGGCAGCGGGGGCGGGGAGGGCTGTGCGCACTGCGAGGACCGACGCGGGCGTGGGTCACGGCTGCCCGGGCAGCTGGAGGTGGGTGGGGGCCACGGGTTGGGGCCCCCCGGACCAGACGCCGGGCCCTCCCCGGGCCTCAGTTTGCCCAGCTGCAGAAAGGACTTGGGGGCGGGCTTTCGGGTGACGGCTCGGGTCCGCTGGGCTTCTGGGTCCCTAAATGAAACAGCCAACCTGCCCGCCCGCGATTATATAAAGGAGTCGCCTCCGCCCGCTGCGCCAGGGGCGTAGCGGGGGAAGGGGTTGGCGAGGGGCGGGCTGGGCGGTTGTTTTCCTGGCTTTGCGAGTTCCCCCACCCAACTGCGGGCCTCTGGGCGAGACAGGGACCCGGCCCGGGACGCCTGGGTCCTGCGGGCCGCTCCTGCAAGGGTCTGCGTGGCTGCGGAGAGGCAGAGGTTGGGGAGTGGGGAGGCGTTGGCCCAGCCCAACTTTTTTTTCCCCTGTCCATTTCTCCCACTTCCTCCCTGGTCGTGGGAGAGGTCCGGCGGGAGACGGGGGAGGGGAAGGAGGGGACAACAGTGAGAACAGCCTGACCCGGCCCGGCCCGCTGCCCGCTGCACACAGTAGGCGCCCAGGGAAGGGCCGGCTGGTGCAATCAGCCGCCTGGGGGGCTTCGGGCTTCAGTTCCCCTTCCTCATTCCTTTGGAAGAAGAGGGTTGGCACCTGCTTTATAGCTGCCGTTTACTGAGCGCTTCTCGAGTGGCTGCCTCTGTCCGGGGTCCTGTTTACCTCCAATTCTAACATCTAACACATTTTTAATATTATTATTATTATTATTAGTAGTATTATTAGTAGTAGTAGTAGTAGTAGTAGTACTAGTAGTATCACCATTATCTTACAGGCAGGAAACTTCCACTGCCATAGGTGAAATGGACCCAGTCTGTCCTTCTCTGACTTCAAAGCTTTCCTCCCCCCGCCACACCACACTTTATTGCCGCTTCACCCAAAATATTAAAAGTGCCTTTCAATTCCCAGATTGAATTGGCTTTTGTAAAATAATTTGGCTTCAAGGGGAAACCTGGAAGGTCCCCAAAGGGGAAGTGACAGACCCGGGACTTGCAGCCTGAACCCAGCCCCAGTTAGGTGGGAAGGGACTGAGGGAGGGGCCAGTGGGTACAAGGCAAGGGTGGAATTCAGGGACTTTGCTCTAACGACCCTGCCTGACATATAAGTCCTGCTTCCTTCCTTAAACCACCCTACTATCAGCCTTGGGACTAGAAGGGCCAAGCAGAAACACCATTTGCAGGTCTCAGGATTGTGCTTGGACTGCTTGGACTCCTGCAGATAACCCAGGCTCAGGCCTTAGTCCCATGGTCTTACTCCCCCACCAAGTTCCCAGGGGTGATTCCGTTTCCCCACCACTATCACCCTGCCTCAAATATCCTGCATTGTTTCTCCACAATTGATAACCTGTCTCAGAAGGCTCAGGGAACTCCTATGTAAAATTGGCATTGAATCAGATCCTGATCACACCCTGAGTAAAAGCAGGGTTTCTATGATTTCCACCTTACATTTGAGGAAACTGAGGCCCAGAGACAGATCATGAGCAAGGATGTCGAATCCAGCATTCACCTGGCTCTGGACCCTGCCAGAGGTGCTGGGGGTGGGTCCTTCAGGAAATGCCAGGATGGCATACCCTTGCCCCATATGCACTCGTGCCCCTGCAGTGAAAACAGAATGAGGGAAGGAGGCAAAGATTTGTCCTGACCCCCATACCTCAGCCCCTACTTCCTTCCCCTCTCCCACAAAAATACTCAAGTAGATTTTTAAAAAATATTTTATTGGGGACTTGGGGGAGAAGAACAGTGTTGGGGAATCGGGGAAGGGAACAGACAATTTGCTGTCCTTTTGTTCTTCAGTCTAGTTGTGGAGGACTTCCCTTCACTTGCCCATGTTGGTATTATCATTGCGCTCTTCCCAGGTGAGGCAGTCGCTCACTGGCCATTGGACTGCCGGCCGCTCACAAAAGCACACGCCAGCTGCTGGCCAGCCCCACTGCAGCCTACACTGTCACTGGCGACTCACGGCAGTCCAGTTCCAGGTCAAGCTGTTGTTCACCATCTTAGCTGTAGAGTGCGCAGCATCACTGGCACTCATGTGGGATCCGAACCGGGGCCTTGATGCTCAGAGTTGGTGTACCAAGCCAATGCCTAACCAACGTGCCACTCGGCCAGCCCTAGATATTATTTTAAAACCTAATAAAATAAAAAAGATTGATTTACTTGGGCAGGTTACTTAATCTCTCTGATTCTCAGAGTCCTTTGAAGAGAATAATGGTAGAGACTTCCTAAGGCTGTGACAAGGAAGAAACAAGGTGGTACATGTAAAATGCTTAAACAGCATAGTGCCTGAAGGAGAGAAGTCCTGCATACATAAAAGATATGATCATGTTGTTGTTATTGTATCATCATCATCATCATCATCTGGGCAGGGATAAAACCCATATTTCCAAAGGTGAGAAAGAAATTCACACACACTCAGACATTTTCTTAACCTCATCAACAGACTCCATGAGATGCTTGTCTAAAGAGTTCTTTGAATGTATCAAGACTAACTCCATCTTAGCAATAAAGTGGTATAAAAAATGACAAATACTTGACACTTGTCTCCAAACAGATTTTTTTCCAGGGTGAGCAGTGACTCCAGCTCTTATTAGCAGAGTTCCACTTTTGTGTGTTATTTTAGTCTATCTGTGAAGCAGGGGTTATTATCCCTGATGTATACACAATGAAGGCACAGAGACTCAGAGAGGATAAGAAACTTGCCAAAGACACACAGCATGCAAGTGGAAGAACTTGAATTCGAGTTATGTTGGCTAGGCTGCAAAGTTATATACTTTTTAAAAATAAAGTTGGATTTATTTTATAAATTAATGAAATGAATAAATTTAGGTGATCCTCCATATAATATTTTAAACAGATAATTCTTGTCACCATAAACAGGTGTTGCTTCTAGGCCAGGGAAAAGTGGGTATGGGAGCAGGGTGTGAAAGTGTCTGTTCACTCTCTACTCTTTGATCTTTTGAATTTTGTATTATGCACACATTACTTAGAATAAAATTTAAAAATATCTTTAAAGTAGCATCTTTAACTTTTGTGGATACCATCGAGAAAATTAAAGAAAAACCTACAGAATGGGAGAAAATATTTGCAAATCATAGAACTGATAAGGGTCTACTACCTAGAATATATAAGGAAACCTTAAAGTCAACAATAAAAACACAACCACATTTTTTTTTTTTTTTAGCTAAGCCATCCTGCCACCTGTTAGCAGATCAGCCGCAGCTCAGCTCGGACTGGGAATTGAACTGGTGACCCTGTTGCTCAGAGCTCACACTCTTGAGCAAGCTCTTAACCAACTGCGCCACTCGGCCAGCCCCACAACCACATTTTTTAAATGGGCAAAGAATTTGAATAGACATTTCTCCAAAAAAAAAAAAAACGATATACAAATGGTCAATAAAGCTCATGAAAAGTTGCCCAACATCC